CCCCGCGTCCATCGTACATCGGCCGACTCGCCGGGGCGGGCGATCTAGCTGCTGCGCCGGCACTGTAAGCGGGTCTCTGTGCGGGTAAGCCGGCGCGGGCCGCGGGCCGGGCCTGTACCAACGCCCCAACTTGGAGCTAGTTCGGACTGCCGCCCCGGGCCAGGCTCATCGCCATGCCACCCCGCAGACTGATACCCGGCAAGAGAGACACAGACCGCCACCCCCACCCTGAGACAGCTCACAGTCTCAACCAAAAGTATAATTAAAATTGATATTTTGTGTGTGAAACGTGACGGAAGGTTTGTTCCTATCAGCTGTGTAGGGTCGTAGAGATCAGATGTAGTGTCGAATTAGTTCAGGCCGGCGTTCGACTACCAGCATCGGATTTATTTTTGGACTGGCTGTCCTGTGGGCGGTGGTTCGAGGCCGTCAGAGCGGACAAGCGGACATACCCCCGCCCGCGAGGGTGAGCGCGGAGTAGTGCTGGGGGTGGAGGCGAATGGACAGGCCGTGCTGGCCGGCGGTGTCCAGGCCGTGGCGGGCTGGAGCGGCCGGCCCTGAGAGACTATCCGTCTTGGGGGGGGGGGGAGGGGGGGGGGGTACATGGTGATAATGGCGGGATCAAGCGGCGGCCCCGGGGGACGATTCATTTGCACACCAGCACCCCTTTCCAATTCACTTACTGCCCCTTTTTCTCCGCCCCGCGCAACGCACGGTCCCGGCCCTGGCTCCGAACGCGGAGGTAGCGACCGTCCTGCGGGGCCCCGAGAAACTACCAAGGGGTAACCAACTTAAGATTTTCATGTACACTGATTATATTTAGAGTATGGTTACATGTGATTTCTTTTGATTATTTTATTATTTATCACTGATTATAGGAGGTTATTATGTTGATTATTGGGATATATTGGGGATTATTTGAGCACCGACCTCGGAAAGCTGTTAAAGTGTCGGAAATTCAATATGGGTGACTTTGGGCAGCCACTGCGTCAAATTTAGTTGCGGTCATAGGCCTCCCTCGACGCCTTACTATTCTGAAGACCCTACTCTTTTATGCCCCGCCTCGGGAAGGCTTTGACCGCTGATAGTTTGGCAGCAGAGGTCTCGCAAAAATGGTCAAAAAGTGAATGAATTTCAGAAAATCACCGTTTTTGCTGACTTTGAGCGGCCACTGCATCCAATTTAGTTGCGGTCAAAGGCCTCCCTCGACGCCTTACTATTCTGAAGACCCTACTCTTTCATGCCCCGCCTCGGGAAGGCTTTGACCGCTGATAGTTTGGCAGCAGAGGTCTCGCAAAAATGGTCAAAAAGTGAATGAATTTCAGAAAATCACCGTTTTTGCTGACTTTGAGCGGCCACTGCATCCAATTTAGTTGCGGTCAAAGGCCTCCCTCGACGCCTTACTATTCTGAAGACCCTACTCTTTCATGCCCCGCCTCGGGAAGGCTTTGACCGCTGATAGTTTGGCAGCAGTGGTCTCGCAAAAATGGTCAAAAGTGACTGAATCCCCGAAAGTATGATTGTCATTTCATTGGATGATGTTGATTATTTCACTGATTACCAACTAGACGTGCAATGATTATCTTGAGTTGGGTACCCCTTGGAAACTACCCCGAGCAGGCGGTGGCGGTCTTGACCTGCTGCAGGGGGTGAGAACGGCTCGGTGCATTTTCCCGCTGCCGCCACGACGGGGCAAGGAGGGGCACGGCGAGCACAGGGGAATGCTAAATCATATCAAGCACGCAATATGCCCGGCCGCCCGAGGCGCCGTCGCCCGCAAGATGGAGGTGCTGGCTGGCTGCCTGGCTGGCTGGCTGCGTGGACCGGAAGGCTCGTGATAAGGGCTAGGACCGCCAGCCCGGGGCCAGCAGGCCGATTCCGAACCGTGCTTTCGTCGCTCTGCCTCTCTCCCACTCGCTCCGTACATGTGCGAGAGAGACAGAGCGACGAAGGCGCGGATCGGAATCAGCCTGCAGCCCCCCGATCGCCGGCCCGCTGGCCGTGCTGGCTGCCTTGCCCGGCCTAGCCGGCCCTTGCCGCCTGCGGGAGCGCGGGTGGGCCGCGCGGCAAGCAGGCGCGTGTAGCGGGCTGGCCTACCCTCGCGTTGACGGGCGGCGTCCGCATCCGTCTTGCCGCGGCGGAGTGGGAGTAACGGATGGCGGCGGGCTGCCCGTCGAAGGGCATTGGGATGCGGTCGGGAAGTACTCCACGGAGTAAACGCCCACACCCTTCTCGCCGACACCTTCCTCGGCTCATTTGTGGACCGCGTTCGGTACTTTGTTGATGTTCACCGCAAAGCCTCTTCTGCTCCGTTGTTTACGATAGGGAGGGGCGGCAGGTTCCCGGCGGACGTCGTCTCTCCCCGCGGGAATACGACCCCCCCCCTCCCCGCCCTCGTGGTCTTATGGCCCGGGGCTGGGGCGGGCTGGGCGATTATTGAAAAGGCATATTGTGGGGGTCGTAAGGGAGGGGCACGCTGCGGGCAAGAATGCGATGGTGTCGTTTGCGGAGCCCAACGACTGCCTAATGATGGATAATCTGGGTGAGATTGAGTGCGGCTCGGTGCCGTTTGGACGCCGATACACTGCAGCCTGCCATCGGCATTGCCGGGCCAAGGCCCAGCGCCCCGCTATCGAAAATTCATCCAGGTCAACTTTTACGGTCATGTTCCTTATGGCAGATTCCAAAAGTTAACAAATTTAGTGCGTATTTTTTTCTGTTTTTTGCTCCGCCGCCGAGGAGTGCCGTTGCTGCAAAGTGCAGAATTAACTGTCAGGCGCAGCGCAGCGCGGTGATAACGGCGACCGTTTCTTCCTTCGGTATTTCCCGCGCGTGGCCGAGTGCGTGTGTGTGTGTGCGTGGCACCCCTAGGTGAGATTAGGCCTAAATGGTATACATTGCTGTTTCCTCCGCTGACAACGCATTTTTCTTTTTTATGCGACAGCGCACGCCGCGCTCTGTCTCTCTCTATCTCTCTGGCTCCTCCTGCACTTGCGAGCCTCTCCTCGCGGGCTGCCTGGGACTCTTGGAGTACACGCCCGCTCCCTTACCTGGAGCCTCCAGCCTGGAGCACGGCAACGCGGCCGCCCTGGACTCGCAAAGTTCCTCGCGACTCGCACCTGACAACAACTTGTCCGGCGAAGCCAGGGCGAAGCCGAAGCCAAGGTGAAGCCAAGGTGAAGCCAAGGTGAAGCGCGGCGCGGCTCCGTTGGAAATGATTTATCGCACTTGCCTCACTTTGCTGAGAGGCGGAGTGAGGCGGCGCTGTACAGTGTAGCGTGCTGGACGCGCGGCGGCGCGGGCCCCGAATTCGTTGGCGCGGTGAAGCTGGTGGGAAGGGAAGGGAGGCGCCCGTAAATCCTATCCCGGCCGGCCAGACGCCGCGCTGCTCAAGTAAGCAGAAGAAAAGAGCGCGATTCTTATTGCTGTCCATTCCCTCTCCCGCTGCTTGTGCGCGCGCGTTAGTGTGTGTTGGGGGGGGGCTGGGTGGAATTCGGTATATGACTTTCCCTGGAAAGAGCAACACGCTGCCCCTCCTCCCGTAAGTTGAAGTCTGGCGGTGCTCACGCCCCTCCTGTCGCCCCCACCCCCTTTCACCTGCAACCGGTAATGAAGGTGCCAGACAGAAAGTCAAAGTGGCGGCTCCGGAGGGGAGTCGAACCCGGACCCGCGCGACGGACAACTGCCGCGGCCACTTTATCGGATCAGTGAAGTTTGCCGTCGCGGGTGGCCGAGTTGAGGGTAGCAACCTCGCCGCGGCGCGCGGTAGGCGGGGCCGGGCAGGGCCGCGCCCCGGGTTCGAATACCCGCCCCGGCGAATGGCAAATAGGGTGGTGGCAGGCATGCGCTTACCACGACACAGTGTTCTGTGTTGCCGACGTTTGTAATGGCTGCAGCGTTTTGTTAACGCGAGACGTGTGTGCGTGCATGAGTGTGTGTGTGTGTGTTTGTGTGTGTGTGCGGTTGTACTCGGCCCGTCCGGTCCCGCTGGGCCTATCCGTCACTGTGCTCTGGCTGCTGGCCCTGCTGGCCCCACTGGCTGAGGAGGCCCCAGCCTTCCCCCGCACGGCCCCCGGGCCGCAGAACTGCGTCAGGCAGGCCGAAGGAAGGCGCAGCCGGCCGAAGGAAGGCGCAGCCGGCCGCCGCACAGAGCACTCGGGACAGACAGGCAGACAGACAGACTGCGCCGCCAAGAAAAATATTTTTGAGCGAAGTAGAAATTGTTCCGCACGTGCACGTCGTGCAAGAGAGTGCTGACGTGCTGGGTCGCGACCCGGCCCCGCCGACCTGCTTCGCCTGCCCCGCCATGTGCGGTGCGAAGTAACGGCCTGGGGCCGGCCGGGCCGGGGCGAGGGCGTCCAGCCAAGTTTCAAGTGTCGAACTTGGTGTTCGTCTCAACGTGCTGAGGGCAGCAAGCTCGCAGCCCGGCGCGCTCCGCGGCGGAGATGCGGGGTTCTGGCGCGCGGCGCCGACGCCGTGCTGCAGTGCTGCAGCGTGCTGGAGGCCACAAGACACGGCCACAGGCCGCAGGGCAGTCCGAGGGGCGAGGAAGAAGCCCCGGTGCCTTGATGAGCTGTTCTCGCCCCCGAACAGCATCATAACCGGAGGGCCGAGTGTGCGGCGTGGTGGTGATGGCCTCGGCCTTCGACTGCGGCGTCGGCGTGCCGCGGTCCTCGGCGGGGCCGACCGTATCGCCAAGTTAAAGGAAGTCCGAATGGCGGCGTGTCGCGGCCAGGCAGGCGGGCCTCGGCGACGACGACTCGGCGCTATCTGCCATCGCGCTGCGGCGACGCGACGCGACGCGGCCTCACTGAATTGGAACGGGGCGCCGGGATGGAGGAAAAATGGTGCCGTCTTCAGGGCGGCCCAGCCGACCCGTTTTTTGCCGCCCTGCCGTTGGCGTGTGCGTGCGGGGCTGCGGTCTGATAAACGACCTCCTGGGGCTGCAGGAGGATCAACGTGCTAGTGTCCTGCCTCACGGTGTGCATCATTGTTTGCAGGAGCGATGAGGTGCAGCGGTCCCTGGAGCTGCTGGACAGCGTCCTCTCCGAGTTCGACGACCTGGAGAACGGCAACCTGGCGGCCGGCACCACGCCCGGGCCCCCCACAGGTACAGTAGTACTTTCCAGTGTGCCCGTCCCGTTCGCGGTGCGAGCGCCTGTTTATTAAATCCTCTGACTTTGCATTCGCATCGGGTATGTGTTTTTTCATTTCCCTTCGTGCTGTGTTCCAAACCCGTTCTTTTCGTTTTTCCGCGGCCTCGTGTGGCGCTGGACAAAATCGTAATGGCGGCGCGGGGTATCGCCACTGCGCTACCCCCGGGGCGAGGCTGGAGCATTCCCCGCCCGAGGGTTTCCCTAGCGCGGGGTCTCTGCGGCGCGGGGTATCGCCTCCCCTGCTCGCTTCCTCGCCATGACGCGCAACCAACCACCGTCTGCTCCTCCTCAGGTACCACGGTGCTGCCGGCGTCGGCGGCCGCCCCTCTGCACCCCACGCGCTCCATCCGCAGCATGGCGGGCTCCGGGTCGGGCTCCGGGTCCGGGGAAGGCGAGGGCGACCTCCTCATCTCCAGCAGCACCCCGGAGGACGACAGCAGCCCCTCGCTGTCGCTGTCGCTCGGCGGCCACCAGTCCGAGGACGACGGGTAGGTGTCTAAACTCAAAGTGGGTTGATTACGGAAAGAATTGGGGATAACTGTTGGTGTGGTTTCATTTACAGGTACATGAGCATGAACGGCAGACGCAACAAGCTGGCGCTCAACTTCCGGCCGCACAACGGCACGGCGGGCACGGCGGGCTTGGTGGCCATCCGGAGGGGCAGCGCCGACATGCTGACCGCCCCGGAGAAGCCGCTGCCGCCGCCGCCGGGCATGGACGTCGCGGACTTCCCGCCGCCGCCCGAGGAGGCCCAGCGGCTGATCGCCAACCTGCTGCCCCGGGTGTCGCCCAGCAACTCGGTGCAGCGGGGCTTCGTGGGGCTGAGCGGCAGCCGGGGCAGCAGCAGCATCGTGCCGGCCCGGCAGCGCCACGTGGCCAGCCTGCCGCAGACCCGGCGCCACATCGTGCTGTCCCCCACCGAGCCCAGGGTCACCACGGCCACGCAGACCACCCTGCCGGGCACCAGGAACCAGCGGCCGTTCGGCTGGGAAGTCGACGCGCAGCCCCCGACGGGCATCCTGCCGCCGCCCAACCGGTTCGCCAGCCTGCAGAACAACGGGCAGCAGGGCCCCAGGGTGCAGCAGCACTCGTGGCTGCCGCCGAGACCCCTGCCGGCCAGCCAGCTCAAGCGAACGGTGCGCCAAGTATTTTGCTTTCCTTGCACTCTTGTTTCGAATCCCAGTGACGGAGTGGTACTGACGGTGATACTCTTGTTTTGCAGTCGACCGGGGAGGAGGAGCACTTCTCCGACGACTCGCTGGAGGACATGCCTCCGCCGCCGCCGCCGCCCGAAGTGGCGGAGCAGGTGGAGGCCGTGTCGAAGCGCGGCAGCATCGCGTGGGAGGTGCCGCTGGACCAGGACCCCCAGGACCCCTACGAGGACCCCGCCGTGCTCACGCCCGGCAGCACCAAGGTGGTCGGCCGGAGAAGGCGGCGGCAGAGCACCGAACACTACTCTAGTAAGCCGATCTGTCGGTGATTTAGCCTTTTTAATGTGTTAGTGTCTGGACGTCCTAACCCTCCCGCTTCCGCAGGTTCAAGTTCCCTTCAGCAAGACGACTGGCCCGACCCGCCCAGCCGGGAGCACGAGCCGACCTCGCCGTCGTCGTCGTGCTTCGGGCCGGACGAGGACCTGTACGAGTCCAACTTCCTGCCGTCGTCGCTGTCGGCCAGCGACCTGTCCAACAACGGCACCTACGTGATCCGCAAGGGCAGGAAGAAGGAGCGCAAGCCGGTGCGCAACCCCCTAGATAGCTTACAGTACAACAAGGCCAAGATGCAGCTGCGGTACGCCGACGTCAAGCGCTGCACCTACACGTTCGACGACCTGGACACGGCCTCGGACGCGGGCGGCGCGGACGTGGCGGACGGCATCGTGCAGGTGGTGGAGCAGGCCGAGGCCAGCCAGTACCCGATGGTGCGCGTGCTGTCGCTGCCCTCGCTCTGCCACGCCGAGGAGGCCAGGCAGCAGGTGGAGGACCAAGGCAACCGAAGACTGACCCTAGAGCAGCAGGAAAAGATAGACAAGATGGAGAAGATGAAGCAGCAGGAGGAGCGGCTGATCCAGCGCCTGCAGGGCCTGCAGGGCCTGGCCGCCACCCCCGAGGAGGACGAGCCCAGCAGCAGCCTCGTGTTCAACGACGACCACAACGACGACTCGCTGGAGCCCATCAGCAACCTGGCGCTGGACGAGGACCCCTTCCGGGACTCCAACGCGCCGCTGTCGCTCATCGAGGAGCAGGCCGAGAACGGCACCGAGCTGGACGACGCGCAGCGCCACAACAACGCGGGGCAGATCGGCGGCAGGCTCACGAGCAGGGAGCTGGACGAGATCGCCGAGATCCAGTACCGCAAGCAGCTGCCGCCGCCGCCACCCGTGCTGGCCTCGGGGGACAGGTACACGGCACCGCACGCCGACTACTACAACCTCAACAAGGACAGGATAGCGGAGAACTGCCGGATAGCAGAGAGCAGGGAAGCGGCGACCCCGACCAAAGACATGTACAGGCCGCGAAAGTCGGCATCCTCCAACGACGTGTTCAGCGACACCAAGTGCTTCCCGGACAACTCGCACTCGCTGAGCTCCACCAGGGAGCGCGAGGAGAGGCCCGCGTCGCGGCGGTCCTCCAACGACCGGCGGCGCCACCACCAGAACATGGCGGCCGAGATGAGCAGCATGGAGCGGTGGCGGACCACGCACGAGATGAACCACGTGCAGGTCGTGCCCGTGGTCGAGAAGGCGGCGTCCTGTCACGGGCACAGCCGCAACGGCAGCGCGTCCAGCCTCAACCGGAACACCGCCGAGAAGGACAAGAAGACCCACACCGTCACCGTCGAGGTGAACCAGCACGACTTCGGGCCGCTACCGCCTTCGCCGGTGGACGAGTTCGAAGAGGACGAGTACTCCGAGATCCTGCACCCTAGTCCCGGGCAGGCGGCGCGGGGCAAGGCGGACACGCTCCCCGAGCCGTTCTACCAGTGTCGCGAGCCCCTCGGCAGCGACCCCAGCGGCGCCCGCTACCTCAACAGGCCCCCCGAGCCGCCTCCCCACTCGCAGCCCCGCGACCCCCTGCACAGCCTCAAGACCAGGTCCATGGACGCGGGCTTCACCAGGGGTTTCCGCAACGCTAGTCAGAGCTCAGCACTCCGCCGGGAGGTGAGTAGACAGCGAGGGGTTATCAACTCAAGATTTTCATGTTCAGTGATAAATAAATTATTCAAAGTTTAGAGAACATTAAGAGAACATCTGAATCACAGAGGGCACGTCACTGCCAACCCCACAGCGGTAAGGTGTGAATAACCTCGCAAAGTTGGTCAAAAACTTATTGAATCTCCGAAAGTATGATTGTGATTAGGTCGGATTATGTTGATCATTTTACAGATTGCCGACTAGACTGATCATCTTGAGTTGGTTACCCCTGGGCCGACAGTGTCGTTGGCAAGGTCGTTGGACGGTCCTCATTGTTTGCTCCTCGCTTGCAGTCGCCGTCCTCCTCGGAGCGCAGGACGCTGCCCAACGACCTGCCGGGGCCCTCTCACGTGCGGCGGCGCGCCTTCCAGAAGCGCAGCTCGTCGTCGCCGCAAGAGTCGGGGCTGCAGACGTCGTGCTCGCTGCCCGAGACGCCCATCTTCGCGCGGGGCTGCGACATCCCGCGGACGCCGCACCGACGCGCGCCGGACGTGCCGTCGGGGAGCAGCGGCAGCATGCGGGCGGCCGCGTCGTCCGGGACGTCCTCGTCGGCGGCGGGCACGGCGACGCGGCCCGGCGGCCTCCACAGTGTGGTCCACACCAGCAGCTACCGCAAGATGGGCCCCGGCGGGCTGGGGCTCGGGCTGGGCACGGGCGTGAGCTTGGACTCGGGCGGGCTGGGCCAGGCCCTGGTCGGCGCCGAGCTGCTGCGACTGACTGGAGGCCCCGGACGGGGCTGGTACCCGCGGCACCGCACCCCCAGGCCCGCCTCCATCGAGCACCTGGACCGCGTCGCCACGCAACGGAGTCCGGGGCCCTGGGACGCGCGCGACGCCCGCAAGCCGATGACGCTGCCGCCCAACATGACGCCCAAGTTCTTCCACCGCTCGCCCCGCGACGCCCTGCGCAGGGTCACCAGCCTGCTCATCCGCGGCAAAGGTGAGTGCCATTCCATCCACTACCGAGTGCGATCCGCGCCGCGGTTCGAACCGCGCGCCTCGCTGCGCCTCGCTCGGCCGGAAGTAGTCCCGCCCCCACCACGCCGGCCGGCAGCGACGGTGGCGCGGCCTCGCGGCCGAGCGCCCAAGTGCAGAAGGGCGTGGTGAGTCATCGGGCGTCGCGGTTGCGCCGCGGGCCGCGAGAGGGCGCCACGCGGCCGCGAGCAAGGCGTGGCAGCCGGCCGGCCGGCGACAGCGGGCCCCTAGGGGCCCCTGGTCGGTGCTGCCGCCTGGCGGCCGCCACGCCAGGCGCGCGGCCCGCGGCGTCGCGCTCAGTCTCCGAGTCGAGTCGCGACGGCGGACGGGCCGACGGGCCGACGGCACGGGGCGACGCACGGATGGAGGCGCGGCGTGGACCGCGGTGATGCTGGAGGCCCCTCCCCCCTCTTCCTCTCTAGTTCCTTACTCCGAGATCGACCTTGCCGGCTGCACGGCTGCTTCCCATCCTCAGCTCGGTGGTTTGGGCGTGGCGGGGCGGGGCGGGGCGGGGTGAGGCCTGGAGGTGACGGAACGCCTCTCCTGAACGCCCTTGTTATTATGACAGGCCAGCTCAGCGGGAAAGGAAAGGCGGGACTGCGGAAGGCAGCGGGCCGGGCTGCTCGAGGCAAGGCTGCCTGCTCCGCCACATGGCGGTCCAACCAGAGCAACTTGTGCAATCGCAACTTGGGATTCAGCGATTCCCTTTGACGGTGTGGGCACGCAGGCCCTGCACTGCGAGGCCGCTGCCTGCGCTGGCTGCGCCCTGGCTTGTTGAGCCTCATTTGAGGACGCAGGCTTCCCCGTTTCCCCACGCCCTCGGGTCCTGCCCGCCCTGCCCCACTGGCACCGAGGCCCCCGAGCAGAATCAGCGTATTGATCGTCGTGGTCCTCACTTAGCGGCGATGCGTGGTCGTCATCGAGGACCCCGGCGGAGCCTCTGACGAAATCCCGCGCCATAAGCTGCAGGGACTGACTCCGAACAGTCCTTTCGTCGCCCTGTCTCTCTCCTACTTACGGGCCGTCCCGTCCGGGTGCGAGAGAGACAGGGCATTGGAGGAGGGCATTGTTCGTAACCGGGCTGCTGGGTGCCGTCACACTTTCGCGAGTCGGCTGGAGAGGCTGAGTCGGGCTGCCCGTGCCGATGGCGGCCTCCTCGTCGGGGGCGTGCTTGGCGTGCTCGGCGAGCTCGGCCGCCTCGCTGATATCCGTCGGCCCTCCCTCCGTCCGTCGGCGCCCCGCGGCGAAGCGCGGCCGCGCTCAGCTCGGCATCGGCTGGGCCGTGTCAACGCCCCCGCGGCCCGCGGCCTCAACTTGAACGCCGAACCTGAACTCGACCTGCTCGAGCTGAACCTAAGCCGAGGCGGCGAGGCGGCGGCGAGGCGACGGCGCGACCGCTGATCCGATCGGACGAGTCATCTGTGCCATGTAGGGACTCGGGGCAAGACCGCTGGCCGCTGTGCGCCGCCGGGACGTACTAGACGTGGTGCTGCGCTGCGGTGCCGCGCGGCTCAGCCACCGCGGTGGGCGTCTGCAGCGTCCCCGCGGCGGGGCGTGGCGGGGCGTGGCGGCGTGGCCGGGCGTACCGCGACCCAGTGCTGGGGTGTGGGGCCGCGACGGGCCGCGAGGACTGCGAGGCAGGCAGTCTCTGCTTTTCTGGGCCCCCGCCCATTTCCTTTTCGTTTTTCGTCTTCCGTTGCGGTGCGCTGTGTACCGCACTGTACCGCGCGGCCGGCTGGTCTGGTCGCCAACCCGCGCGCGGTCTGGCTGAGCCGCGGCGAGGGCAGGGCAGGCCGTGCACGCCGTGCAGGGCGTCGACTGGCCGATCCTCCGCCGCCGTTCAACGGGACGGCGAGGACGGCGAGGACGGGGCACTGGTCCCGCACCTGGGCGTGTATTTAGGCCACGGACGCGTGGCGGGGCTTGGCGGCGCGTGGCGGTTGGCGTTGGCACTGCGACGACTAGCCGCGCCCGGTGCCGCGCCGCCACGGGGGCGACGCCGTCTGTACAGTTCGACAGCACCAGTAAGCCATCGAGGCGGCGCCTTAACAATGTCGCGCAAGGTCGCCGTCGTCGCCGCGTCGTTTTACCGCGACCGGGATGGAGTATGGCTCGAAGCACGCGAAGCGGCGGCATCTGCCGGCTAGAGCCCTAGCTGGCTGCCAGCCCCGCCAGCGCGGCCTGGGACTGCAGCGCGCTCGCTGCACGTCGCGCCGGCGGGTTGCTGTAGGTCATGGAGACGCGCGGAGAGCTGCATTCATTGGGGCCGGGTCGTGCGAGCGGCGCCCTCCGCGCCGAGTGGTTTTACTTGGTCGGTAGTCGACGCGGCGCCCCTGGTCCACCTGCACCGGCACGGCCAGCGAGGCCGGCATGACGTCCGGGCCGAGACCGGCCGCACTGTGCACCGCGCCGACCGCAGGACCCTTTTTACGACCTTTTCTCCCCTTTCCTTCATGTCCCTCGGGTCCTCACGTGTCCATCCTTTTGCGGCTGCGGCCGTGGCGCTGACCCGTCTGTCCGTCTGTCTGTCTGTCCGCCCGTCTGTCTGTCTGTCTGTCGGCACCGCGCGGAATGAGACTCAGGCGCCGAAAGTAGTGAGCTGCTCACCCCTCTTGCTCTTCGCCCATGAATTCATAACGGGGGCGGACCGTAATGAGATGTAGGGGAGGCTGGGCGGGCGGCAGGGGGTCGCTCTGTCTCTCTCGCTCCCCTTCGGACCACCCCATGAGTGCGAGAGAGACACCGTAACCGCCGCTCGGCATCAGCCTGCAGGGGGCGGGGTAGGCAGCGCGCCGGTCCTGGCGCAGCCCCGCGCGCCGGGTTGCCTACCCCTCCATTGCACGGGGCGCGGCAGCAGCGTGTTCATGGAAAGCGGATGCGACAAAGCCTGGCGTCTCTCTCTGTCTCTCCTCTTCGCCGAAAGAGATGAATAACAATTCTTGTCATAATTATTCCCGTGCCGAGCAGTAAATAAATACAGAAGGCTTCGGGTGGGGTCTGCGGGTGGTCGTGACACATTGGCTCGAATCCATGCCGCGCGGCCCCAGATGTCAACAGTGAGTCACATGGATGACTCTCACACACATGCGCACGGTCGCAGTCTCGCACACACTCCCTGCGCTGGGCTGGGGGAGTGAAGGTCACCTGCACCTCCCGGGACGGGTTCGCACGCACGCGGAAGGCCGGCCAAGGATCAGCAGCAGCAACAACAACAACAACAACAACAACACTGGGATAAGGCGTGCGGCGCCACACATGGGCGTGCAGTGCGCGGCCCTCTTTGGCGTCCTCGGCGTCCCCGTCGACGGTCCCCGTTGCGCCCCTGCCGCTTCCCACGGTGTGCAGCATGCTGCACAAGCACTGGTGCCGGTGACGTCACCGGAAAAAGGCTGAACAATGAACAGGAGTAAAACAGTTGTTATGTATTTTTTAAGAAAATGTACTTGTAAAACTGTCGAAACGTTCTTGTTGTTTGACCCGAAGACGCGGGGTCTCTGCGTTGTGTGCACGCCGCGGTGTTTCGCTCGTCGGGGACGTTAAGTCGCTGCCCCTTTTTCCTTTTAGCTTTTTGCCAGTGCGGGAGAGAAAGGGGAAGTGTGAGCAGGTGCGCCGTCTGGTGGCGTCCCGCCTCGCGTCCCGCCCGCCCGCCGTCAACGGCCAGGCCAAAACGCGTGCGTGCGGGCCGACGGAGCCGACGCTGCGAGCCTTTACCGTCATGCAAACTGAGTCACCGCGGCACCGCGTGAGTCATTCGGTGACGCGGTGCTCCGGTGACGCGCCGCTCCGGTGACGTCGCGGCCCTCCCGCTCGCCATCGCGAGGCTCGCCGTCGTGAGGTCACGCGTCCGCATGCATCGCCGCCACCGAATTAGATTACATCTCGCTCCCTCCTCCCCCTCCGCCAGCACCGTGCATCGTGACCTTACTAGTGTGGCGACGCGGCGACGCGGCGAGTTTGAAAGTTGAAAGCGACCGGCGCGGATTTGAGGAAGTGAGGCACGGCCCGGAGGACTTGCACGCGGGGGCGGGGGCCGCGGGGGCAGATCAATACAGCAGCCGGCGTGGCGTACGCGCGGCCAGAGCGCCAGAGCGGGCAGCCCCCTCGACAACGAGACCCTCCCGCCCCGCCCCGCCCCGCCCCGCCCCGCCCCGCCCCGCCGGCACGCCGCCCCAGCCCCCACGTTGCCCGCTCAGCACAAAGCGCGTTTCGGCGACGGCCTACTTCGCACAGTGCCAAACGCGAAAAAATAAAATCAGCACAAGAAAGAAATTAACGCGCGCGCGGCGTATGTTTCCCTCGGTTTGGCGAACGCGGTTCGCGGCCCGTTCTCATGGGCGGCTTCGGTTTCGGCGGGCCATGGGCGGCCATGGGCCTTTGCCACGGACCGTGGGCGAGACAGAGACAGAGACACCCGGAGAAGTTGTTGGCCGTCTGATTTATACGGCTTTGTAGCGCCGCTCGCAGCAGCTGCCGCCGTGCTCCGGTCGCTCCGTTACGGCCACGGCCCTAGTGGCACTGCTAAAAGCCGTCTCTTCGGCTTCGGCTCGCATTTGTCGCTTCACTTTGGCAACAACAAAAAGTACAATCGACGACAATGGCGACTGGGGCCGGCGGGCGGGGAGTGGAGGTGCGCCAAGCCGTCTGCCTCTGGCTTCCTCTGGCTCTGCTTTTTGTGGCCGGCGAGAGACAACGGGGGTACCGACCGGCCGACCGACCGACAGATCCCGTAGCAGCGTAGCTGCGCGAGCTGCACAAAGACGCCCCAAACAAGGCCCAAGGCTTGGCGTGGCTGGCCGTGGCTTGCTGCCCAGACAACATCGACACTGTAATTAACCGACAGCAGCCTCTCCTAGTGGAGGCGCGCCGCTTTTTTGTTCGGCCCGGCTGCTTCGGCCGTGTTGGCGGGGCTCTCGTCCACCACGCGGCGCGGTCGTCGTCGTCGAGGCCCGGGTTCGACTCCCGCCG